TTTTCTTGATATACTTGAGGCCTATGACCAAATTATGGCAGATCGTGGCTTTAAAATAAGGACAGATCTTGCCTATAAACATTGTACTCTTTGTATACCTCCAAGTGCTGTTAAAGGAATTTAAATGTCAAAAGAAGAAGTTCGAGAAACATCAAACATTGCTAATGTACGTATTTATGTGGAGCAAGCAATAAAAAGGATAAAACATTTCCGTATTTTAAAAATAACGCAGCCATTACTATACCTACCAATCATGAATAATATACTGCGCGTATGTGCTGCTATATCAAACTTAAGAAAACCATTAGTTTTTAAATAGACCTAGGGTTTGAAAGATGTGTAAAAATTTTTGTTTTCAAAACTAGTAGTTTTTTTAAAAAAACTAAACCAGCCCAAAAAAAAAGACTCTTTTTTTTTAAAAATCTTTTGAAAATGCAGAAAGAATTAAAAAAATGTAAATAAAAACAACATATTAATCTACAACTCATATATATATATATATATATATATATATATATATATATATATATATATATATATATATATATATATATATATATATATATATATATATATATATATATATATATATATATATATATATATATATATATATATATATATATATATATATATATATATATATATATATATACATCATATATATATGTCACTCCTAAATGTGTTCTATCTAATAAATTAACCCTAAATTAAAAAAATTTTTAAACATCAAACGAGTCCCTAATACTTTAAAAAAAAAAAATTCTTTAAAAGTATATCATGTTGGGTCTCAAAAGAAGTGAAATTTTATATAAATTTCAAAAATAATAATCATTTTATATAAATATTACTTTTTTAAATTTTATGGCTTAAAAACTATAATTTTTTGACAAAAAATTAAAAGTACATATTTTCAAAGTTTTTTTTAAATAAACTTTTTTAATTTGTGTTTCGATAAATTGTTTTTACTATTTTTAAAATTTTCATAAAATGATGTTTATAGTCACTCCACATGATAAGCACATTATAGATATATATATGTATATATATATATAAATATATATATATATATACATATATATATATATATATATATATATATATATATATATATATATATATACATATATATATATATATATATATATATATATATATATATATATATATATATATATATATATATATATATATTTATATATATATATATATATTAGAGTGCCTCTTAAAACAACTTTTTTTGAAATTGTCTGCTATCATATATATATATGTATACAAATAGTATTGCGTATTAAGGTAAGCAATCTGACGTCCTACTGAAATAACTTGCTAATAACTGGGGGCTTCAGTACATACATCGACTGACAAATAGCCTGACCCGCAGTGGAGTGCTGCTACATCGACTGAGGGTTTGGGATGGGGCAGCAATCGTTTCATTCATCATTTTTTCGTTTTTTTTTCTTCTTTTTCGAAAAAAACGGTATGGCTTAAGCAGGGCCTTCGAGAGGGAGGGACAAAGGGGGCAAATTGACCCGGGCGCCAAGCTTGAAGGGGCGCTGGACAATACGTTTTTTTTTTAATAGAATAAATAGAAAACATTTTAATGACTGACAATCTCAAATCTGCTTCGTTTTTGCATTTGAGATTGAGATACTTTAGTATTTGGAATAAATTGCACATGAAAAAAATAATTTAAGTTTTAAATTCTATTCTTATAACTAGTAATAAACGAATTTTTACGAAAAAAATAGGATTTAACTTTTGTAGAATTAGATAGAAGCGGACGTGTTCCGTAAGCCCATGAACATTTAGCAATGCTATTTAGCAATTATTATGTGCAGTGGTTATAATAATGGTAACTCATCAAATTTTGATTTGAAGGAGTTGACGCAGATAGCACTGAAAACTTCAATAGGTAGTGCGTTCGATGGGTTCGCTTCAACTTCTTTAACTATACGGTTGTTAAAGAAGTTGAAGCGAACGAGACAGTTGTGGTCGATCTCACAATAAAAGTGCTGTTTTTTTTAAGTAGTATTTGCTGTTGAGGTAAAAGAGAGAATCATAGCATTGCATTTTTCAGACAAATAAGCGGCCTTGACTCTACTAGAACCCTGCCAGTTACCAAATATTTGAGTTTTTGCATCTTGGCTGCACTTAATATGGGTAATTTACTGCACTCAATATGTTATTCGAAGGACTGTGGATCAGTGGGAGCTTGAACAATTTTCCTCAAGCTGAGCTTAATGAATTTCAAAGCAAATCATTAGAGTCAGAAATCATTAGAGTCAGGTTCATCTTAACTTGGCAATAATTAATGCTAACCCTTCTTTGTGGGCAGTTGTTTTGAGTCAAAAAGATTAGGATGTAATTTTTTTAAAGAGATCTCCAGCACAAAAGCAGTATTCAAAAGCGGCTAATTGTCCCTTCTTCGTTGAAACTGAGGAGCTGGAGATCAACGGAGGAAACTCATAAGTCGTGTGAAGCATCATCAATGCAGCCCATTTCACTAAAGGTTCTACAATGACTGGAAAGAGGCCTAAATTTGTCTTACCAGCTCCACTGGTAAATATTTAGAACTCCATAAGTTAATAAATTCTGAGACAGCTAAATGGCTGACAATTCTTGGTGAAATTTTGAATGTGACTGTTTTCCTGGCTTCTATGGAATTTAACTTTAGGGAATTTACTTTAGGTGTTTTCATTGACTTGATGAAAGCTTTAGATACTATTGATCACGTAATTCTTTTAATAAAGGTTGGAGTGGTATGGAATTAATGGAAATATTTTAATTTAGCTAAAAAGTTACTTAAATTATTGAAAACAATTTGTTTATGCAGATAATAACATATCATCTAGTTTGTTAAATATTTCATGTGCAGTTCTTCAAGGATCCATATTAAGACCATATTTATTTTAATAATTGTATTAATAATTAAAGTTGATATTGAGAAAACTTTATAATGACAACACTAACAAGAAGGCCCCACAACGGGTACCAATTATTTCTTTCCGTCGTCTTAAAATAAGTACACCAAAGAATATGGTGTTATCCAAAGTGCAGCTGTCGAAGAAATTCAGGATGGTAATTACTTCACAACCATAGTTGATGGTACTCCTAATATATCTCATACTGAGCGAATAACCTTTGTCATTTGTTTTCTCCTCTATGAAAGATTAATTGCTGGAAAATCAAAGAACGACGTGTTCAATGGTATGTATGGATATTCAAAAATGTCGTGGTCAGGGACACAATAATGGATCCAGTAGGTTAGGTGCTTACAAGGGAGATCAGGGCTTGATAAGGCTAAATTATTCAGAAGCTCTGTACATTCCCTGTAGCGCTCACAGTCTGATTTTGGCCGGCGCGCTCGCGGTTGAATCAGCTATTAAGATCAAAGTATTCTTCAAAAATGTTGAATCTTGGAGCGTATTATTTAGTTCAAGTCTAACCCGATGGAAGATTCTCTCTAAGGCAACTGGAATTTCACTGTATAGACTTTCTCTGACAAGATGGAGGTTTCATACCAACTTGATCAAACCACTTGCCAAGAAGCCGAGAGAAATGTTGGCAGCTTTTAAACATATCATCTTTAAACATATCTTGATTTGACCAGTGAGCAGCTTAGCCAAACAAGAGATTTAAAAAAATGATTATCATCTTTTGAATTTGTTTTGCTCGATACAATTCGGTACAAAACTCTTACTACTGTTAGCGATGTTTGTCGCCTTCTACAATCTGAAACGTTACCATTGATGACAAGCTACGTTTGATTGGACAGCTGCTGGAAAGTCTTAAATGGTTTAGGGCTCTTGGTTGCAAGTTTTCTAAGAGGCTGCAGTTGTAGGTGACCGCTAGGATTTGAAACTGAACTCGCTCCTAAAAGAAAGCGTGAGCTAAAGCGCTTTAGTGAACAGGCATCAAACACAGTCCATTTCCATGAAAGCCAAACAAAAGAATTTAAAGTGAACATTTTCAATGTTGGTTTAGATAATCTGATCCAGCAGATTGATTCAATATTTGAAACGAGCAGGGTGGTTGGCAATATTTTCATTCTTCAGGTTGAATAATAATAATCTTTAGCCCCCCTAGCTCCCCTTAATCCGGCACTGCGATTGTAGATTTTTGCATAACCGTGTGAAACTCCTACACAAAATCTATTATTTTAAAATAACATTGATCAAGTTTGAAATTTTGATATTTTTCAGTGAATTGTTCTAACATTTATAAACTTTTAACATTTAAAACTTTTAAAATTTATTTAGGATTTTAGGTTAAATATTTAAATAAGATTCCTCTACAACTATTATTTCGGTAGATTTATGAAATGTTAAACTGTATCAAATTTTGAACTTTAGTTAAAGAAGCATTCATAAATTAGCTATTTTTTAAAGTAATAATAATAAATAACTGATTAAATTAAAACTGATTAATAATAAACTGATTAAATGAATTGGTCATTATGACTTAGCCACTTGTTTAACTGTTATATCATTAGTTAAAAGAAAAGGCTTTTAAGAGACAAATTATTAAAAAAGCCTTTCCTCAAAATGCACGTTCCGCACTATGAGTTTTTAATAGATGGACTTAACGTTAAACAAAAAAGTAAAAAAAAAATAAAAAATAATAAAATATCGCTATTATAAGAAGATTGATTTGATTGGCAAAATATCAAAACGTAACTTAATTATTCACAGTCGCACTTAATTTGAAAATAGCAATTAACCCTTTTGTTCGAACATTCTTTATTACCAGGGGGTTTTCTTTTCAAAAAATACAAATTACTGTATTTTATTGGAAGATTTTAATAAGTTTATTAAGCATAAACATTTTTAAAACTAAGATTGAATAAAGCAGAAAATTATCTTTTCTTATATTTGAAATGCATAAGCAAAATAACAACTTGTTGGTAATAACATCTCCCTACAAAAATATATTCGAAAAATATTTCTGAGTTTATGTTTATTACACAAAAAAGTGGTTGCTTGCATTAGCGCGTAAATGCTTTGGTGCTTAAATTTTATTGTTTTTTACTTGCGTTAGTTATGTCAGAAGAATTAAACAATAAAGAAACAAACGCTAGCAGTTCGGTCATTAAGAAAAAAAACAAGGTAAAACAAAGAATTTGTCGCAGTACTCACGGTTTGGTATCTAAAATAAAAAATTTAAAGCTGTTTAACAAAGATGAAGACATGGCATTTTTACGAAGGTATAGTAGAATAATACATTTAAAGAAAGCTTATAAAAAGAATTTTATAGTTCTTATATTTTTATAACAATAAAATCTTAAAACTTAATTGTAAATCATTTTTAATTTGATTTCGCCATTCAATTTTTATTTATGTTCGGCGCATTACAAAAAATAAATTAAAAAAATTAAAAGCAAAAAATTGGATAAAAGCAACGGCGAACGTGTATTAAATGTTACCATAAATAAAAATGGAAAAAAGAAAATAAAAACTTGTAATTATTTATTCATAAATGACTAGACTTTTCCCAGACCAGAAGCGTTAGTGCATTTAAAAATTAATAATTATTCTTTTGGGTAAAAATTTATCTAAAAACAAGGGGTTGCACCCTGCATCACCAAATTCGCTGAAATTTGGCACAAATGTTTAAAGATATAAGTTAGGAAAGACTGTAAAAATTTTTCAAAAAATTCTCAACCCTTTAAGATTTACAGCAACTTGAAGTTAGTTATTTTTTGACTGAAAAAAGAGGGGGGGGGGGGGGGTAAAGCCGGAAATATGTCAATTTACCATTACCCTTTTTAACAAACTTGTAGTAATGTTGCGAAGCTAAAACTTGGTACCAAAGGAGTTTAAAACCTGCTGAATCTGAAAATCATGAACTTTTATCTTTCAAAACAATAAAATGTAGTTTATTTTTAGATCCACAAAACGCACTTGTTAATGACAATAAAAAAGGCCATTGAAAACTATAGTTCTAGAAAAAATCTGACTGATGAAAAAAAGTTTTGGTTTTCGTTATTTTAAATATTAAACATATATCTACTTTGCGAACCAATTTTTATTTGGCCTTATGTTTTATCAAGGAGCTATTGATGTTTTAGTTTTTCAATTTTTCTAAAGATATTTTGCAAAAAAAAAAAAAAAAAAAAAAAATTGCAAATATATTTTGAATACAAATACAATTATTTTTGTTTTGTAATAGCTTTGTAAAAAATTTACAAAGTTATTACAAAACATAGTTGAACATTTTATAAATTTGTTTCTTTTCACTTTCATTACTTAATAATAATGTCATTTTCATTACATAATATCATGTCATTAAATTTAACAATATTATGTAACTTTTGTTGTTGATTGTTTTGTTGTAATAAAACATTTATTATCATCAATAAAAAAAGTAATAAAATAATATAATAATGTCTAATTAACATTACCATGTTAAGTTACATAACTAAATAAAATTATATTTAGTTATCTTTTACTTTTACACAACTTTTTGTAAGTAGTTAATGGAGAATTTACAATAATTGGTAGATAGTTAGGCATTTAAAATATGTCTATTAAACTAATAGCTACTTGTTCAAGCAATATGTTCTTTATAAATACATATTGATATGATATTGTTTGTGTTCAAGTGTACTTTTCTTGTTGGGGACATTAAGATTATTTAAGATTTCTTGTATTAAGTGTTTAGACAGATTCCTCATTATATTTTTATATGGATAACAAAATTCATTGCTGCTTTGTAAATAATTATGGAGCTTGTTATAAACAATCATATACTCAAGAAAGAAATCTAATTGAAAATATTGACAGCAATGATCGTAAGCTACTTGAAAAACAAACAAATCTGAAACAAGAACAAATTACTAATATAATATGCACACACCATCTATAATATGCACTAATAATATGCACACACCATCATGATATGTTAGTTGTAAGATATGAGGGTAATCAGAAAAGTTGCTGTAATCCATTTCTGAATTACCAAAAGGTGTGTAGAGGTAAAAATTTATATATTTATATTTCATTAGGTAATATCATTATTAATAAGTCATATAAGTTTTTTTGGTAATAAGATTTGTTCAATGTTTCATAGTTATTAATATAACAAATTGTATAGTAATATAATTACATAATATATATATAATTAATGTTATTTAAGTAATGTAATTACTTTCTTTTTAAGCATCTCTACGTGTGATTACAATGCATACTGTGTTAGAAGCAGAAACCATAGGTTTAAATCTTATACCTGGAAAAAAACTGTGTCCAACCTGTCGAAGTAAAGTTATGACATGTTTATCAAAAAGTATAAGTGAAAATAAAAATGATGAAGATTTTGATATTTTTAAGATCCATTCAAAATAAAAAAGAAAGTGTAGATACACACTTTGCATCTGCCGGAGTATCTCCAATTAAGGTCAAAGTATTGCACAAGTCAGGTAAAATCAGAGAAGATAAACGAAAATTGACAGCATTAACAACCTCCATTAAAAAAAAGGTGGCCATTTCCCTTAATATATCAGAAGGAAGTTTTGAAGAACAGTCAAGTTTTAATAATGAGTATATGGAAAGAGCAAACTTGTTTGATAACATGATAGTATTGTTAACTAACAAAATTGCAAAGTGTACATCAACATCAAAAAAAGTACAACTTGCGACACTTGCTCCAACAGACTGGTTAATAAAAAAGGTATCTGAAACATTGCATGTAACAAACTATGTAGCTCGAACTGCATGTAAGTTAACATTAGAAAAAGGTATTTTAACCATGCCTAATCCTAAATTAGGAAAAGCTCTTCCTGATGTAACAGTTCAACTGACAACAGACCTTTTACGAAGACGATGAACATAGCCGTATAATGCCTGGTAAAAAGGACTATGTAAGCCTAAAGAAAAATGTCCACATTCAAAAATGTTTGCTCTTATGTAATTTAAAGGAATTGTTTGTTGCCTTTAAAACCAAGAACCCAGAAATAAAAATAGGATTTTCAAGGTTATGCACCTAGCGACCTAAATGGTGTATTACTGTTGGTGCCTCAGGAGCACATTATGTATGTGTCTGTGTTATTAATCAGAATTTGAAACTGCTTTTACATCCACTTGGTGTGACATACAAAGAATTGTTACCTTATATTGTCTGTAATATAACTAATAAAGACTGTATGATGAGGAAATGTGAAAAATGCCCAGCAACTATGAATGCATTAGTTGAAAAACTTTATAATATACTTGGAGAATTTGAAGATGATGATGAGATTGAATTTGATCAATGGACAACAACAGATAGGTCAAACTTGACACATAATAAAGAGCCAGTGTTTGAATACATTGAACTAGTATGTAGAAAACTGGAAAAACTTGCACCACATTCGTATTTAGCAAAGAGTCAAGCATTATACCTAAGATCAAGAAAGGAAGATATGAATGAGGTAACAGCATTATTTCTAGGTGATTTTTCAGAAAACTATAAATTTGTAGTTCAGGATGAAGTGCAAAGCTTTCATTGGACAAATTTACAATGTACACTTCATCCAGTGATTATTTATTTCAAAAAAGAAGGCATTCTCAAGCACAAATCCTATTGTATTATTTCGGATGATATGATCCATGATGTGAACATGGTTTATAAAATTATTGAGGTTTGCAATAATATAAAAACAAATTTGCCTCAAATAAAAAATATTGAATACTTTTCAGATGGGTGTGCAGGTCAATATAAGAATTGCAAAAATATGTTAAATCTTTGTTTCCATTATGAAGATTTTGGTTTTACTGCTAAATGGAACTTTTTTGCAACTAGTCACGGTAAGCAACCTTGTGGTGGGATAGGTAGTACAGTCAAACGTCTGGTAACACTAGCAAGTTTGCAAAGAGATATGGATAATCATTTTATCTCCACAAACAATGTATAAATATTGCAATGAAAACATTGAAGGCATAAATTTCATATATATTTCATCAGAAGATTTAACTTTGGTGAAAACCGCTCTTAAAGAACGATTGGATACTGCTACTACAATACCTGGAACACGTAGTTACCATCAGTTTGTACCACTTGGCCATCAAAAGGTAAATTATTATTTTTTAATTATACCTTTTACCATATTTTAAAATACGCGCATAACTTTTATTGATAAACTCAAATAGATATTAGATTTTTGCAGAATCATTATCAAAAATATTTGTATTTTATTTTATTTCTTCTGCATTTGCTATGTATGCATTTAATAAAACATGTTTGATAAGTAAAACGGAATAATTGCATATGTTACTATTTTGTTTAGGTAGGCACTAAGCTATGCAGTATTGATGAAGAATTTGCTTTAATTCATGACTTTGGAAATATCCAGATAACAACTGTAAACCTAGTACCAAGTGATTATGCCTGTGTTTCCTATGAGCAAAAGTGGTGGATAGGAGTCATTGAAGATATTAATTTAGAAGAAAAAGATGTGCTTGTAAAATTTATGTGTCCTAATGGTCCTGCACGGTCGTTTAAATGGCCACCAAAAAAAGCCAAAGCTGGATTCCTGATGTCCACATTATTTACAAAGTTGAGGTACCGATAACAAAAACAGGACTTTGCTACTATTTAGCCTAAGAGGACTTATAAAAAATTTTTTTCCTAAGGAAGTAGAGATTTTTATATTTACGAGTCTATTATGTCTTATCCATTCTTTTTTTAAATATTATGTTTTGTGAACCAACTTGTAAATAATGCGAATGTAAAGCATTTATAAAATCACTAAAGTTTAGTATTTTTAAAAAAAAAATTATATACGTTTAAATTTTGTTGTAAATATCATATGAAAATGAAAAAGATAATTAAGTCACTAAATTTTTAGTTTCTAATTTGATTGATTGGTAAAAGGTGGGGTTATATTAAGTGTCTAATTTAAAAAATATTAAAAAATTTTGTGTCTATATCAAACATCAATAATTCCTCAAGTAAATATAAGGCCAAAACAAAATTGGTTCGAAAAGTAGGTGTTGATCTTATTTTTAAGAAAATCGAAATTAAATTTTTTTTATATCAGTCAGATTTTTTTTTATAGCTATAATTGTCAATGCTCTTTTTTCTCGGCGTTATAAAGTGTATTTTATGGATCTTAAAATAAGCTACATTCCCCTGTTTTGACATATAAAAAACTATATTTTTCGAATTTAACAGGTTTTAAACTCTTTTGGTAATTGTAGTTTCAGAATTGTGGCATCACTACAAGCACCATATTAAGGTGAAAGTAAACGGAATGATTTTCGGCACTTTTTCCCCCCTCAGTTTTTAGTCAAAATCAAGGAAACTTCAAATTGCTGTAAATTATAAACAGTAAGGAATTTTATAAAAAAAATTACAACCTTTCCTAACATATGTCTATAAACATTTGTGCCAAGTTTCAAAAATTTTGGTGATATAGGGTGCAGATATGTGTTTTTTTGTGTTTTTTGAGAAATTTTTACCCTTTTTTAATCCCTAGAAAATAATTTTCGATAAAAAGTGGTTCTAAAAAAGTTAAAAAATGTTAAAATTAATTCTTTCACTACTGATTTAGATTAAACCTTGAATATATGTAAGATAGGATTTTGCCTATTTTAAAATTAATTCTGTAAATTCTGTATTTATTATAATAAAATATAATGTAATATTTATTATAGAATATTATTATTAATATATAAAATATAATATATTATTTATTATCGAATCAATTCCAATAGTTGTTATCATTAAACATCTCCGCTTGTTATGAAGTTACCATAGATAAACTCACCTAAATTAATAATAAAAAGGAATAAAATAAAAAAAACTAGAACCAGATACAACAGATTGATCAAAAGGAGGCAATCTAAACACACGATAGTTTTATTAATTTTTCTGATGAAATTTAAGATTAAATGCACGTTTTTTAATGAAAAAAAAGCTATAAACACAGGCGTCTTTTTTATCTATTTTTTATCAATTTGAATTTCTATCAATTCAAATAAAGACATGGAAATATAGAATTTATCCATAAATGAGGCATATATTTTAAATATATAATATATCCTTAATTTAGCGATATATTCTATAAACCCATATCGTTATTTAGAGTTGAGAGTTAGAATCTTTATTAAAATGAGTAACAAACCACAAAAATACGGTGACCTAAAGACTATCTTTTAAACCAATTACTGAATTGGTCCATTCATCTTTTTTTTACTTCCCTTTCACTTTTCAGGTATAAAGACATTATACCTGAAAAGTGAAAAAAAATGAGAAATAAGCCTAAAGATTTAAAGTTACTCCTTACTTTGTTCCATTGAATAAATTAATTGTTCTGTTACGATTAATTGTGCATAATACTCTTGGTATATAATATAAGAACACAAATACTAGTTTATTTTGCAGACAAGAGGTGAATCAAGTTTGAAATACAGCTGTATCTGTTAGTTTTTTTTCTTTGTTTATCTATTAATTTTATTTATCTATTAATCTAATTAATAGATAAACTTTGTTTATCTATTAATCTGATTAATAGATAAACTTTGTTTATCTATAAATCTGATTAATAGATAAACTTTGTTTATCTATTAATCTGATTAATAGATAAACTTTGTTTATCTATTAATCTGATTAAATGATAAACTTTATTTATCTATTAATCTGATTAATAGATAAACTTTGTTTATCTATTAATCTGTCATCCTAATCTTCTATTGATTAGCATTATTACTAATTGTACAGCAGAGCCGATATCCATTTGTAGCTATCGATATATTTTCAATATCCATTTGAAGTTATTCGATAGTTGCATATCGTAGTAAAAGCAGAATACGATGCACAGTTTGCTGGTTTGTTCCATTATGCTTTGTCGCTAGTTACTGCATAACTACAGTTCTATAGCTACTAGGTGGCTACTTATCACCGGTTTTTTGTTAGGGATTTCAAAACATAAATTTAACTATAAATCTTAAGGTAGTTGATAGTTTATTCTTTAAAGCTATGCTTTTTTAGCTAGCAGTATTATTATTATTTATATTGTAACTAGCTATAACATAACAACTAGTCTATCTATTCGATAGCTGCATATCGTAGCCTTTTTTTTTTTTATTATCATTATTATATATCTTTTTTTTTTTACATGTTTATTTTACAACTACAAAGTATTTACAAGTAACCAATCATAGATTGGCAGTAATGATATACAATCATAAATATCATAAACGAAGTAAACAAAAATATAGTTGCTTTGTAGCTGTCATCAATGTTGATAGCTGTTGATTCATATCAGCTTTTTCACGTTGATACCATTGAATACATGTCGATTCAACATAGTTATACTAGATATAACTACTAAATTAATCAGTGTTGTTACGACTTTTAAATAATTTGACTGTCGACTAAATCGACTAATATATTTTCTAAAGTGGACTAAAAGTTGATTTAATTAAAATATGGGAATAATTTTTTTTTTCAAATTAAGTTGTAATAAAAATAATAAAGTAATTTATATTCGCTTTCTATTTTTTAACATCGTATCATTTAAATAATAACGGAGCAAAACAATATGAGAGAGGGGTCCCATTCGACAACGAGAAAATTTATTCACAGACTCCAACAATTTAGAGACTAAAATCATTTAGTCGAAGTTGATAACAACTCTAAAAATAATAATAAAAGCTTTAACGACAAGTAATAAATGAAACATGTTTAATGATATAAATATAAATCTGGTGTTTTAAAATAATACATGTACAGTTGGTACACGTTGCCATATGCGATTTTAGTAAGTAAATAATAAAGCAAGATGTAATAAATATGAATAAGTAATATAATAATATAATGTAATAAATATAAATAAGTAAAAAAATATATGGTCAGTACGTTATATTTGATAATGTAAAGTATTTAGTTAGCAGGGCCGACGACACGGGTTTCGAAGTGGAGGGGGGGGGGGGGAAAGGGCACAATCGTCGATTTCTAAAAAAAGTTCTCTATATCTAAAATTTTCTTAAAAAAAAAAGTCCTTTTGAAAAAAAGCGAGGGGCACGTGCCCCTGGCCCCCCGGTTAGAAGTATGGTATAGTAGAAAGATTACAAAAATATACTAAGTAATAACAACTTTATATAGTGTGTATTTATTTATTATTAAAGGAAATATAGCTAGAAATTTTTATTAGCTAGTGTCATCGTGGTCCAACCGCTAGCCAATTTCCCACCGGGTTGTTAATAATTTAATTTATTATTGTTATTGCTTTTGCTTACCGCTTCGTGGGTTTTTCTCTTCTTTTAAGAGAAAAACCTACGAAGGAATCTACAAAATATCCTAACCTAACATATTTTTTTAAACAGCAGTTCCGACTGACGATAAGTCGATAGCAATAATATAACTTTAAACATTAAATATAACTTTTAAACATTATGTTTTGAATGAAATTTTAAATTCTCAAATAAATTTTTACCTTAATTATAATTAATAATTACAATTGATAATATAATAATATATTATTATAAAATAATAAAAATAATTATAAGAAATTATAATTAATAATTTGAAAAAACAATTTTGGCAGGTAATGCTTATTTTTTAGGTTATTTTTTTTCCAAACCTTATATGGTATTTAGAAAACAGTCGTATATGATTTAAATATAAACATACAAAAGTTCGGAAATTTAAACTTAGCTGAAATTATCTAATCTTGTACACAAAAAAAAGACAAAAAAAAATTATTTTAAATTGTACAAATTTTTTCTTAAAAAATACATTAGCATAAAAATAAATTAAAAAGTTGCGTTTATTAGATGCTTACTAATTAGTCTTTCTTTATTTATTGTATTTTTAAGTTTTCGCAAAAAAATATTTATTCAATCATTTTCTTCATTTCTGCCGTTATTTGACCCTCCGTGGAGCGTTTTAAACTAATTGGCAATGTCACAAAGTTTTATAACTTTAATTGGGGGTAAAAATATCTAAATATCCAAACCTGTAATGAAAATTCCGTCTCTATGCAGCAAAAGATTGTAACCAAAGATCATATAGATTCTGATGATCTGGATATGTCGAAAAACATTGTTTCCTGGTTAAAAAGGAAAAAAGGGGCATGACCCTTTAACTTTAAAACCACCAAACTGTCTTCTATAGCTATTGTCGGTGTTAATTAAAATTGATGTTTTTCTCCTTTTCCAAATAAAAACTCCATCATTAAATATTTCTTATATCTTTTTTTTCACTCATAATGCTAGCGAGGCCGGCGCGATAGGGGTGTGTGGGGGTGTGTGACACCCACCCCCCATCAATGATTTTGAGTCGGCAAAAGTTGTAATGGCACCCCCCCCCCCCCACGTGACACCTACTCGCGCCGGCCCTGAATGCTAGCTTCCATTTAATTAAGCAATTTAAAAAGTATGAGAGTCAATAATTTTTATATTACTAATAAATTTATATAACAAATTTAAAAATAAGATACTAACTGAAAAAACTCATTATCCTCACATTTGAGGCTGGGGCTGCAGACCTTTTGGGGTATTTTTGTTAACGGGCTTCAATCATCACAATATTTTGCAAAGCATCCTTATTTAACATAGGCATGAACATGTTCAAATTTGGAGTATTCAGAATTCCTAAAAATGTCATATTTGAAACATTTTTGAAAAGCAGCCGTGTTGTAGAGTTCTGGCTTTAGAACTGGAGGTCCATGGTTGAAGCCGGTTCTGACCATATATGCATATATAACTTCTTGATTAAATGCTATTCCGCGGTGCTCTGTGATAAGGACTTCCTAAACCACCTAAATAACTAACAACAACAATAAAAAAAACATTAAAATATTCAGCGGTTGCCCCTTACCCAATAATTTTTATTACCAGTTACTTGTTATTAACCATCTTGAACTCAGGCCTGAGTAATTGTTCAAGTTAAATACTTAGTCATCTACTAAAAAACTAAAGGCACAATTTTTAAATTCTTAAGTACTTTGAACCTAAAATATATTAGGTTTACTTGTTTTAAAAAACAATGTTAAAACAATATTTTTCTAATATTATTTTTTTAAAACACCTTTTTTTTTGTTTATATAAAATTGTTTGTATAGATAGAAAAATCCACCACAGTGTTTATTTCATAGACGGCATTAATATCAATTTTATTATTTTTATGTAGTCAATCGTGGAGAAGCTGTGATGAAGGTAGTCTTGGAGAAAACGGAGACAGTAAGTCAAATTCTGACTGCAAGCTATACCTTTCAGATAAATCTTTATTGTCGAGTTCTTCATGTGAAAGTTTAGATGGTTCCTGTTTGTGGGAAGTTTATACATTTCCCGATGTTATTTATCGGGACTCATTTCATGATAAAGTGCTGCAGCCAGCCAAGTTTTCTGTTACTAGTTTGACTAAAATATCGACTCCTACAAAAAAGTCTAAGTTAAAGTTATTTAAAAGTATAAGAGATATTAAATCTACGCAAAAAAATGTTTTTAAAGCAAAAGCATTAGTAAAAAAAGAAAAAATAACAGATTACTTTAGTGCGCAATTAGTCGAAAACTTAACTTCTACAAAATTAAAAAGACATAATTCGATGATAGAAACTGTTAAACAGGTAGAGACCACCCCTACATCCAAAAGACATTCTTCAAAGAGGTTGTGTGCGACGGAGCCCAGACCAAAGCGAAAGTTAGATAGTTCTCCTATTAGAAAACTTTCTGAAAGTACTCCTTTGAAAAGAATTAAAAACGATAGAGATTTTATTTCAAGTGATGACGATAGCCTACCATTTGGAAGTACTTCTTTTTTTAATCATGTCTTATCATCAACTGAGAATTTATCTACAAACGATCTTGGAGTTATACCAATAAATTTTACGAAGCGTTGCGTATCATGTAAAACCCATCGAACACCTAAATGGAGAGATATTGATGAAAACACTCCATTGTGCAATATATGTGGAATAAGTTGGAAAAAAAACAGAATACGATGCACAGTTTGCTGGTTTGTTCCATTAGCTGATTTTGAAACGACTTTACAATGTTCTAATTGCAATAATTTAAAAACTTTAAAAAAATTCAACTCAATGCGCAGGTACAAAAGTAGTGTTTATTAAAATCTATATAATTTTTATCAAAGATTTTGGCATTAGTTAAACAAAATGACCATTATTTATAGAAGTTTTGCGTTTTTCTACTGCTTTCTTCCGTTGATATTATAATAACTAAAAATAAAAATTAAAACTAATAAGAAAATTTTTATGTTTAAAAAAACTCTTTAGAGTGAGAATTTTTAATAAACGTTTTGCAAATAGTGTATTGTCAATGTACAAAAAGTGTATTTTATAGTATACACTTAAAAAAAAATTTTAATTTTCTGTTTCTAGGCAATGTTACTTTTTTTTTTCACTTGCATTTTCCTATTTTAGATGTGAAAATATTATAAATTTTATTTGTATATTTCTTATTTATTCTATTTCTTATTTATTTCCAAGAATTGATTTATCAATAACGGTTTTTTTTTTTATAAATTCGATGTCTTTTCAAACGGCAACCGACATACACACCAAAAAATAGCCATAAATGAGAATATAACATTGTCATACTGCCACGTTCAACTGCTAGTCGGAGAGAGTTAAAAAAAACGTTGTCAAACTCGGACAAAAATAATATAAAACTAAAGTTTGTCACATAGAATGAAGATAGTCATTAGATAAGCGTAAAAAAAAAAAATACTCCGATGATTGCGCTACAGGAACATCTCATTTAGCGCAATTTTAGGGGTAAAAAATGTGTCAATTTCGACAACTCTAAAATACCATAAACTATATATTGATGTATAGAAAACTTTATATTGATCAATACTTATATAGTAGTAATTTTAAAAATTATAAAAAAACGTTTTTGACACGAAAAACATTGTTTTCAAAATATAATAAAGCGATTATTGGTTTTTAGTTATTACAGGTTGCTGCGCGAAACTTCATATAAATATATAGCTTCTATAAAAAAAAAAAGTGACAAAAAGCGTAAATGTTATTTTAAAATAATTTTGTGATTCGAATATAAATTTCTTAAAAGTGCATTGTTCGATCTTATATATTTTTAGCATTTAATATTATAAGCAACTTTTTACTCAAAACAAATATTCAAATAAGTTTCAATTTCATCACTTGAATCTTCTTCAATTTCTAAGCCTTAAAGACACAATTGTATCTAAAAATACTGCAAACTTTAAAATATATATATATATATATATATATATATATATATATATTTAAAAATAAAATTTACGCTTTTATTGTTGCAGTCTTGACAATGATAGTCACTGCACGAAGACATGTATTTTAATCCATTTTCCCTGAAAGAACAAAAATTAGGTTTGCACATGTTTTTTGACAAAATTTTACAAGTACAGCAAATTGCTTTTGCGTATATTAGATTGTGCCACATCTTTCTCTGTTGATATAGGAAGAACAACCCATTTTTTAATTTCCATCCTGATTAGGCTTGCACATATTTCTTGACAAAATTTTACTAGTACAGCGAATTGCTTTTGAGTATATTGGATGGTGCTACATCTTTTTTTGTTAATATAGGAAGAAGACAGCCCATTTTCTGATTTTCATCCCCATTATTTAGATTTAAGTTAAAAGAACTATTAAGAAATTTCCATCCAATAACCTGGAGATGAACTCGAAGACTTCATGGTCTTCGAGTTCATCTCCAGGTTATTGCCGCACTATCAATGAGGGATAGCTTATCTGACTTAATAACTCCTTCACCATTTTTTTTATATTTTGAATACCTAAGAAATAATACTATTAAACTATGACATTTCTTCAATCAAAATGTTGAAAGAGATTAAAAAAAAATAAAAATTAAACGTTGAAATATCAATCTCATTTTCTTTAAAAAACCTTCTGCATTTTCACCGAAAGGTTTAATCCGATTTCTAGGAACCCCTTACAACTTCTTTTTAAAAACAATGCATAGAAACATTTAGTTTTAGCATTTTTTAAATATACCATTTTTATGTAATATGAGCATGCTCAAATTTATTTTTTGCCTTAAAACTTGGTTTTTTAATGATAAGTTTTGTTAATGAAGAATCATTATATTCCATAAATTAGTTCTAATTTTCAGGTTTGTATTATTTGATCTAATTTAGTTTTGCTCGTATTACCAAGTTGTCTGGGTAATATAAGCACTTTGCTTCGTTTTGAAAATCTCTGTGTTTTTAAGAAAAAATTTCGGGTGCCCAAATATCTAAGTGGACCATGAGTAGTGATCCCTAAAAATTTTTAATTCGCAATAATATTGATTCCATGCATAATTTGAAAATATTCTAATTTTCGCTTAAGGTGCTCATAATACCTTAATCTACCTTACTGCATACTCCCCAACTTCTTTCTTGGTTGTCCAGTTAATTCAGATATTGGTTTTATGCTATTCGACATTTTTCTGTAATTTTAAAGTACTAGAATTTCATTTTACAACTATTGCAGATGCAGATTGCACGGTCAACAAACAACAGCAACAATAACAACAACAATAACAACAAGATACTTATTTTCCTCAAAATTTGCAATCATATAATTACAATAATATATTAATAATAATTATAATAATAATAATAGTATTAATAATAGCAATAAGAATAAGAATAAGAATATCTATAATATTATAAATAATAATATCAAAATATAATTATAAAGAATAAATATAAATAATTGATTGAGAAAGGAGTCACTCATGCAGAATCCTGATAAAGGAGTAACACCAAATAATTATATTAATAATATTAATTCAAAAAATAATAATAGTAACAATTATAACTTTATTCATTAATAGAGAAAAAGTAACAGCAAAAATAATAGTGCTTATAATAATTGTAATAATAATAGTAGTTATAAAAATAGCAGTAATGAAAGTAATAAGTATTAAGTTTTCCATTATTGATGTTTCTAGTTAAATTTGAATGTATAAATCGAGTTTCAGTGAAGAAGGTTGTAATAGTGGACGGTAAATTTTTATTAAGGGAGTCAAAAACAAAAAGAAGATTAGCAAATTTAAATAGTGCTGAAAAGGTAGGAGTTTTAAGTTTTTTTGAGGAATTTTGAAGTTTCTGTATTATGGGGTTGAAAATTCGGGTTGATTGGCGCTGGGCTGACAACAATTTATTAGTATTACAGTTGCCAAATTTGACAACAGTAGTTGAGATGAGATTGAAAAATTGAAAAATCCAGATGCTTAAGGGTAGTTTAATCAACATAATGGCGAATTATTGGAAGCATGCCATTAGCTCGATTAAGTTTTTTACGAAGTGCATCTATATGAAAATTCAATGAGAGGTTCGAATCTAAAAAAATACCAAGATAATTAACAACGTGTGTTGCATATAAACGTCTATTATTAATTTTAATTTTAGTTATATGATTGTTGTATAAAATTTTTAGTCTTGGAGATGAAAAAATATTAGTTCAGTTTTTTCCAAGTTCTGAGAAATTAAGTTTGCATTAAGCCAATGAACTTTACCTTTTAGGTCTAAGTTTATATTCTTACACAAAGAATAGTGAGACTTATTAATATGCAAGATATTAGTATCATTAGCAAACAGATGGACTGATGAGAAGTGGACAGAGTTATTTAGATCGTTAATATAAATCAAAAACAATAAAGGGCCAAAAAAAGAACCCTTGAGAACACCATAAACTATATGTTTGTTATTTGATTTGTAACCATTTATGCTAACAAACTGCTTTCGATTTGAAAGATAAGATTGAAACCAGTACAAGCAATTCCTCGGATTCCTTAATGTTCAAGTTTAGAAATTAAAATGATATGATTAACTGTATCGAACGCTTTTTGTAAGTCGAAAAAAACACCACCTACGAAATGACCAGTATCCAGTGCCTTTTTTTATTTTTTCGGTTATACTTATTAAAGCGTGGCAAGTAGAATGTTTTAATCGAAATCCAAACTGAAATTCATTTTAACAGATAAAGGAATTCAAAAATGAGTTTAATCTAGAGTACATTAGTTTTTCAAAGAGCTTGCTAATGTTAGAAAGAATTGAAATTGGTCTATAGTTGGTAGATGAGAGCTTTGAGCCATTTTTATATACTGGAATAACACAAAATAATTTCAAAATGTCAGGAAAAATTCCATTTAAGAAGGAGATATTAAATAGCTTAGATAAAATATGAAAAAAATTCAGAATTAAATCATTAAAAATGTCTGTGGGAATGCTGTTAGAATCTATTGATTTTCAAGGTTTTAATTTAGATAAAAGTGATGAGATTTCAGAATGGTTTGTTGGAGATATCAGTAAATTATGAATATTGGATGTTTTAGATGTTTTATAGCTAATGTAAAACAAGTGAATTTTAGAATTAAGTTTATAAGCTACATTTGTGAAAAAGTTGATGAATTCTTCGCAGATTAGAGTTGGTTCATTTATATATGTTTCGTTAACTTGTACGTAACTTAGAGGTACATTTTTGACAATTTTAACATTTATTAGACTTATTATGCCTAACCAGATCACACGAAGAATTTTTTTATTTTCTAAAAATAATTTTTTGAAATGTATTTTTTTACTCAGTTTTATTAGATTAGTTATGGTATATTTATAGCGTTTAAAGATAGTTTTTAGTTTAATTATATTTGTTTGATATTTATCCTTAACATTTTCCCTTGAATAAGATTTTAAATTTGAATTAATTTTATTATTCCTATAGTAATCCATGGCTTGAATTGACGCTTGTAGCTCTTAGTATTAATTTTTTTGAGTGGCAGATGACAGTCTAACAACAATGCTGTTTGAGAAATAAATGCTTTAAAACTAGAATTAACATCGTTTTTATTGGTAATGTCATTCAAATCAACTCTTAATAATTCAGATTTAAATATTTCTTTATTATAAGTTTTAAAGTTCCTGCGGTATATATATTATGATTGCGTGGTATAAATAATTTGATGAGATTAGGTAGGTGAAATAGAATTTGTTAGATTTCCTAAAATAATTTGGTTAATGGTTACATATGAAAAAATATTGTTAATGATTGTAGAAGAATAGTCAGCAACTATAGCGTAATAAATGGGCGAATATTATAAGAAGTAAGTTTAAAAACTCACAAGTTGCTAAGTCAGAACTTAACTGTATCAGATCCATGTTAAAATCGCCAAGTAGAAAGACAGATTT